GGTTATTGTACAAGCATGTGTGTGATGTGAGTTTTACAAAACAAGTGTCAGAATTCTTGTATTTTCCCGGGCGAGATCAAGGGCAATAAATTAGTACACGTTTCGTAAAATTAGTATGCCACACATGCGAGTGTGATAATTTCTTTAGCACCCATTGTTTCGTAATCCTTTTGAGCTCCCCTTTAGAAACATGCACTGATCACACTCGTCGTTGTCGAAAACCTCAATGTCGAATGACGGTAACAATATTATGTTATGACGTCGTTTCTGGTGTGACGTCATTCCGACCTTACGACACAATGCGATTTGAATGACGTCAACAATGCCGTCCGGATGATGTAAACAGTACACTGGTGCGCGAGACGTGTTCTAGTACACATACGATTTTTATGAACTCGGTTATTTCTAACCATATGTGTGATAAACATACTTACGTGGTCATTTCGGAATTGAAGATGGCCGACAAATTGACAGACAACACAACAGCCCTCAACCTCAACTCTGTGCCCCTGAGAGTTTAATGGCCACACCGTACCAAACACACACTAGATCATTCTAACCCACTCTTGTCTAACCTCAAGGTCCTTTTTAGGACTTGTGGTAATGTGACCACCTCAACCCCCGGAATCTGGACTACCCCCCCCCCCCCACAAACCTTATATGAACCCGAGGGCAATTTCCTCTACGTTTCCTCTCCCAATCTATTTTGTCTCTGGCAACTTGCATATTCCCTTGCTATGTTACTTTTATTGTTTTGCTCTAGTACTCCGACCCTCGACCTACTACTGTCACCCCTGGTTATGAGTGGCCCCGTATGTTTCCTGTGCTCTTCAACTCCTACATCGCCTGCACTCAACATATCTTCCCATGTGTTATACCTATATCTTACTGTTTTAGCCCCTCATATTGCCTACTTATATAATAACCGTAGATGTCTTAATGAATTGCTAATTACCATTATTTCATGCCAATAATACTTGTACCAATGATGTGTTGAGTGAGTGTGGTGACAGGTAAAATTACTCACTGTTATAATATTTAACTTTTGATGGCATAAACACCATGTTCAGATGTCATATATTTCTTGTTCGAATGTCGTAAGCATGGTATTTATATGTCATATATACCCTGGTCAAAGGTCACATATAGCGTTTTTTGTTTGTTACCGAGCTACCAGGTGAGAAAATATATATTGTTTTTCTTGTCTACATTCATTCCACTTTTGCAAAAATCCAGGCATGTAGGGAAGTATAAGGTTTCTTCGATGCCAAACAGAAACTCAATTGCATATTCACAAGGGATTGTTATTCCTGTCTCCGATGCATTTGACTTAACAACGTGCGCTAGTCGTGCGCGGACTTGATTTGACATTTTCATTTCGATCAATCATTTGAAGCGCAGGTAAAATCGTTTCTAAATATGACTACGAGAAACTAAGTCTTTGAAAGCCATTTTGAAGTGACACACACGAGGAAGAGAAATCAGGGATATCAGCTTCTTTATGATGAGGAACACAACATTTAGGAGTATATACTTACTCCTTCATCAGGTTATGACTGCATTCGCCTGGTGAAGGTGTAAGTGTATACACCGAGACGTTGTGTTCCTCATAATAAAGAAGTTGACATCCGTAAATTCTCTTCCTCACGAGATACCAGCCTTGTGTATGCAAGGCTGCGTTACCGCCCTCCCCACCCGAAGTAGAATCATCGTGATTATTAATTATTATTGATTATTAATTAAAGAAGATAGATGGTAGTAGGTCGAGGGTCGGAGTACTAGAGCAAAACAATAAAAGTAACATAGCAAGGGAATATGCAAGTTGCCAGAGACAAAATAGATTGGGAGAGGAAACGTAGAGGAAATTGCCCTCGGGTTCATATAAGGTTTGTGTGTGGGTGGGGGGGGGGAGTCCAGATTCCGGGGGTTGAGGTGGTCACATTACCACAAGTCCTAAAAAGGACCTTGAGGTTAGACAAGAGTGGGTTAGAATGATCTAGTGTAGCGGTAGCGGCTAGAGAGCGGTTGGGGAGACGACATCTAGACTGGTGCTCCGTTCTCGGCTTGTTGGTGCTTATATAAGCCATTCCTACGATACGGAATATTACTCAGGAACTGGTCGTCTATATACCGGGGGGTGAGATTGCTCTAGGGACTGAAGCATTTGTGTCTGGCACCCTCCATTTTATGTCACATGTTTCACAACCCGCTCCCAGCCATTACAAAACAAAATAGAACTGTCATTCATTCCTATACAGGATCCCTTCCCGTTCGCTTCACCATATCAATGCACGTTGATATACGGTAAAAACGCCTTAATTACTTCGTAATCAACACGCGTGTAAAATGTATATTACACAGGCCTAGGGAACATGTTTAATGGATGGTAATATTATGTGTTTGATAAACATCAAAACCGATGTCAATGTACAAAAACGTCATTTCCATGGATATTGAACACTTTACAGGGATTGACATTCAACGCGCGACGGAAGCAGCGTTGTAAGCCGCTTTATCTTTGATGAGCAGCGAAGGTTTTAAAATCACCAGAGCGTGACTCAAGTGAGAGAGACACCAATAAAACTGAATGCATGATTCGTACATATCCTGCTCTCAGCACAGACAGAAGCCACGGACAGATTGCAAGGGTGGCCCAGTCGTCTGAGGCGCTGTGTTACCTCCCTTGGGCACGCCAGAAATTAATGAACGTGGGTTCGATTCCCAGTTGGCCCCGATTATGTTTCTTAGTTTGCCAGGACTATATCCGTGATCGGGGGTTTCACGAAAGTGGTAAACTTCGGGTTTTCCTCCCACATTAAGCTGACACACCATTATATAACTTAAATACTTTTCAACGCGGCGATAAACCCAACTCACTAACTCACTAACCACGGACACCCATGGAATGAGAACTGAAGTTGGAGTATGGTGGTGGTCATTGGATCTGTATTTATTGATTTTGAACTTGGTTCAGGGAAAAAGCATTACGTAAAGGTTACACCATTAACTAATTTCACCTCATATGTCTTAAAATGAAGGGTAAAAAGAAAATATTCAATTGAAAACTGAAAGAACTGTTGTTAAATTTGAATATGTCTATTAACAATACATCGTGTTCAGACGTCATATGCTTCGTGCTCGGCTCGCATAAACATTTTGATGCCATCATACACCCCGTTCAGATGTCATATATATCTTGTTCAGATGCCATATACACCACGATCTGATGCCATATACACCACGATCAGATGCCATATATATCATGTTCAGATGCCATACAGACCGTGTTCAGATGCCACATATACACTGTTTACATGCCATATACACCGTGTTCAGATGCCACATATACACTGTGTTTAGATGCCATATACACCGTGTTTAGATGCCATATACACCGTGTTCAGATGCCACATATACACCGTGTTTAGATGCCATATACACCGTGTTTAGATGCCACATATACACCGTGTTTAGATGCCATATACACCGTGTTCAGATGCCACATATACACCGTGTTTAAATGCCATATACACCGTGTTCAGATGCCACATATACACCGTGTTTAGATGCCATATACACCGTGTTTAGATGCCACATATACACCGTGTTTAGATGCCATATACACCGTGTTTGGATGCCACATATACACCGTGTTTAGATGCCATATACACCGTGTTCAGATGCCACATATACACAGTGTTTAGATGCCATATACACCGTGTTTAGATGCCACATATACACCGTGTTTAGATGCCATATACACCGTGTTCAGATGCCACATATACACAGTGTTTAGATGCCATATACACCGTGTTTAGATGCCACATATACACCGTGTTTAGATGCCATATACACCGTGTTCAGATGCCACATATACACCGTGTTTAGATGCCATATACACCGTGTTCAGATCTCATATACACCGTGTTTAGATGCCATATACACCGTGTTTAGATGTCACATATACCCTGTTTAGATGCCATATACACCGTGTTCAGATGCCACATATACACCGTGTTTAGATGCCATATACACCGTGTTTAGATGCCACATATACCCTGTTTAGATGCCATATATACACCGTGTTCAGATGTCATATACACCGTGTTTAGATGCCATATACACCGTGTTTAGATGCCACATATACACCGTGTTTAGATGCCATATACACCGTGTTTAGATGCCACATATACCCTGTTTAGATGCCATATATACACCGTGTTCAGATGTCATATACACCCTGTTTAGATGCCATATACACCGTGTTCAGATGCCACATATACACCGTGTTTAGATGCCACATATACACCGTGTTTAGATGCCATATACACCGTGTTTAGATGCCATACAGACCGTGTTCAGATGCCACATATACCCTGTTTAGATGCCATATACACCCTGTTCAGATGCCACATATACACCCTGTTTAGATGCCACATATACACCGTGTTCAGATCTCATATACACCGTGTTCAGATCTCATATACACCGTGTTTAGATGCCACATATACACCGTGTTCAGATGCCACATATACACCGTGTTTAGATGCTATATACACCGTGTTTAGATGCCACATATACACCCTGTTTAGATGCCACATATACACCGTGTTTAGATGCCACATATACACCGTGTTTAGATGCCATATACACCGTGTTCAGATGCCACATTTACCCTGTTTAGATGTCATATTTACCGGGGACATGGGTGGCCCTGTTGTTTAAGGCGCCGCGATTCGCTATGCAGAGTTGCGTCCCTTGGGCACGCCAGAAACCTATGAATGTGGGTTCGATTCCCGGTCCACCCCGATTACTCTGAAGGTTTGTCCTGCACATTCGACTCGTTTCTTTTCATTGTCCAACGTCAGCCATCTGTGGCCGCCATGTGAGTGTCAAGATGCGCTAGGTCGAATGGTGTGTCAGTACGCTTGCCTTCTCTTTGTCTTCACCATACCAATAAATGTGTATAGACGGTAAAAAGAGCCATATACATCCAGACCTCAAACAAAACATTTATTCAATGTAACGTGCACAGGCCTGAGGCAATGTTTAAAGCATTTTTAATATTCGATAAATATTCAAACATGTGTGAAAAAACAGGCATTTATATGTCAATATTGATGTGTAGGACGCCCAGGGAATGCGATCTCACGAATGTTTTCAATAAACAACACACTCGCTTGTTATAAACCTACTAGAGCGCAACGGTATTATGACAAAGCATGTTTTTTATATCATGTTTTCAGAATGTTATTATATGCGACGAGACATTTGGATGGGACGTGGTGAGTCATTTGATCGTATAATGTATATATAGATATAAAAGTGTTTTATTGGATTTCCATTATAAAAAAACAGAAGACATAAATATGGAATACATAATGTAGCCTGCACAGAGTTCTTTCTGAACCAGGGACACGGCTGGATCAGACTCAGATGTTGCCTATCTTCCACCAGGATCCGCTGCTCCCAGTTGTATTTGACTGCTCTCGGGTTTTAAATGTCATAGATCGATTTGCGCTACTCTGTGTTCCCCTCATAGTCTAGCGGAACCGAGATCGTGAATACTTTGTTACAGTTCGCCACATGTTTGTATTACCATACAGCACCACAGTCCTCAGATACCGTCTCCCTTTTTAACACGGTCTATTGTTCCTGTGATATATATCAACATTAAGCTCGTGGGAACATTGATCGTCATATCAAGAGCGATCGATCCTTTCCAGATAACGACAGTGAAGGGTGAGTCACGTCTTGGCGGTGTTACAGACACGGGATGGATCGATTTGCTGGCTGGAACAAGTTATTAACAAATAAGTTTTGTTCGACGTGTATATGACGAGCACTGATTCAGACGCCCCAGACCATTTACAATATGCCCTTACATCAACACAAAACCCCACCTCTATACTGCTATACTTTACTATTACCACCCATGTTACATGCAACTATTACCACCCATGTTATATACGACTATTACCACCCATGTTATATACGACTATAACCAACCATGTAATAAACGACTATTACAACCTTTGTTATATACGACTATTACCAACCATGTTATATACGACTATAACCACCCATGTTATATACGACTATTACCACCCATGTTATATGCGACTATTACCACCCATGTTATATACGACTATTACCACCCATGTTATATACGACTATAACCACCCTTGTTATATACGAGTATTACCACCCATGTTATTTACGACTATTACCACCCATGTTATATACGACTATTACCGCCCATGTTATATACGACTATTACCACCCATGTTATTTACGACTATTACCACCCATGTTATATACGACTATTACCACACATGTTATATACGACTCTTACCACCCATGTTATATATAACTATTACCACACATACTTTATACAACTATTACCACCCATGTTATATACGACTATAACCAACCATGTTATATACGACTATATCCACCCATGTAATATACGACTATTACCACCCATGTTATATACGACTATATCCACCCATGTAATATACGACTATTACCACCCATGTTATTTACGACTATTACCACCCATGTTATATACGACTATTACCACACATGTTATATACGACTCTTACCACCCATGTTATATATAACTATTACCACACATACTTTATACAACTATTACCACCCATGTTATATACGACTATAACCAACCATGTTATATACGACTATATCCACCCATGTAATATACGACTATTACCACCCATGTTATATACGACTATATCCACCCATGTAATATACGACTATTACCACCCATGTTATATACGACTATAACCACCCATGTAATATACGACTATTACCACCTATGTTATATACGACTATTACCGCCCATGTTATATACGACTATAACCACCCATGTAATATACGCCTATTACCACCCATGTTATATACGACTATTACCAACCATGTTATATACGACTATTACCAACCATGTTATATACGACTATTACCAACCATGTTATATACGACTATTAACAACCATGTTATACACGACTATTACCACCCATGTTATATACGACTATTACCACCCATGTTATATACGACTATTACCACCCATGTTATATACGACTATTACCACCCATGTTATATACGATTATTACCAACCATGTTATATACGACTATTACCACCCATGTTATATACGACTATTACCACCCATGTTATATACGACTATTACCACCCATCTTATATACGACTATTACAACCCATGTTATATACGACTATTACCACCCATGTTATATACGACTATTACCACCCATGTTGTATACGACTATAACCACCCATGTTATATACGACTATTACCGTCCATGTTATATACGACTATTACAACCCATGTTATATACGACTATTACCACCGATGTTATATACGACTATATCCACCCATGTAATATACGAGTATTACAACCCATGTAATATACGACTATTACCACCCATGTTATATACGACTATAACCACCCATGTTATATACGACTATTACCAACAATGTTATATACGACTATTACCACCCATGTTATATACGACTATTACCACCCATGTTATATACGACTATTACCACCCATGTTGTATACGACTATTACCACCAATGTTATATACGTCTATTACCACCCATGTTATATACGACTATTACCACCCATGTTATATACGACTATAACCACCCATGTTATATACGACTATTACCAACCATGTTATATACGACTATTACCAACCATGTTATATACGACTATTACCACCCATGTTATATACGACTATTAACAACCATGTTATATGCGACTATTAACAACCATGTTATACACGACTATTACCACCCATGTTATATACGACTATTACCACACATGTTATATACGACTATAACCACCCATGTTATATACGACTATTACCACCCATGTTATATACGACTATTACAACCCATGTTATATACGACTATTACCACCGATGTTATATACGACTATATCCACCCATGTAATATACGAGTATTACCACCCATGTAATATACGACTATTGCCACACATGTTATATACGACTATAACCACCCATGTTATATACGACTATTACCAACAATGTTATATACGACTATTACCACCCATGTTATATACGACTATTACCACCCATGTTATATACGACTATTACCACCCATGTTGTATACGACTATTACCACCAATGTTATATACGACTATGACCACACATGTTATATACGACTATTACCACCCATGTTATATGCGACTATTATCAACCATGTTATATGCGACTATTACAACCATGTTGTATACTACTATTACAACCATGTTATATACGACTATCACCACCCATGTTATATGCGACTATTACCAATCCTTATATATGCGGCTCTTACAAATGGTCCTCTACAGACTATTACCAGCCGATGCTGAAAACAAACAGGGCTCGGAAATCATTCATACCAGCCAGTAGTAGTTTTTTAAATGTTTATCTGTTTAACACTTTTTAACAGTTCGCTGTACACAAATCCTATCCTGTCAGACCGCCGTCATATAGCTGAAATATTGCTGAGTGCTCAATTAAAGGTTACTTTTGCTCTGATATAAATGTATATACTTTAAACTTCCGTTCCTTGTCGTCACTGTGAATCAATTTTCTAGTGTTCAATTTTCTACATGTTTTTACTCGTGGTAATATTAGTAAGTGTCTTAATTCCTGATGTCCATATTCTAATATTATATATTTTCTTTTTTCATATTTTAGTGCTAATCAACTGTGCAATATGAATTTCCCTTGGAATAATAAAGTCCATATAACCATGTTATATAAGAATATTACCCACCATGCTCTGTAGTAAAAGCCACAAAATCATAATCATAAGGCATCTCTGCATAAAGCAGTGTCTGATGTACAATTCCGAGTATATCAAGATCATGTGTTTATGATTCACTGTTAAACAGTAATGATACCAGGTGTTCGCGAAAGGGTGAGCGCATCCTGCCCCGCCGATGACACCCGTCCCAAACACATTCAAAGGCCAGTCAATTGTTCACCTGAAAAACCTACTTTACTAAGGCATTGGATGTTGTAACCTTGATCAAACAATACTTAGCAAGAATCTTATGGCCCTCCTTGAAATCTTGGTGGAAATAGCATGCTCGATTGTACCTCAATAGTTGTGAAATGTAAACACCAATCACACCAAGGGCTAAAGCTGGAGTAATATTGCTCGACAAAAAGGGCATAACACTATTTCCACTATTACCAACAAAGTTGTATAAAACTATTACCACCAAAGTTGTATACAACTACTGCAACTATTCTGTACAAAACTATTACCAACAAAAATGTATAAAACTATTATCAACAAAGTTGTATAAAACTATAACAACCATGCTGTATAAAACTATTACCAACAAAGTTGTATAAAACTATTACAACCATACTGTATAAAACTATTACCAACAAAGTTGTATAAAACTATTACCAACAAAGTTGTATAAAACTATTACCAACAAAGTTGTATAAAACTATTACCAACAAAGTTGTATAAAACTATTACAACCATGCTGTATAAAACTATTACCAACAAAAATGTATAAAATTATTACCAACAAAGTTGTATAAAACTATTACAATCGTGCTGTACAAAACTATTACCAACAAAGTTGTATAAAACTATTACCAACAAAGTTGTATAAAACTATTACAACCATGCTGTATAAAACTATTACCAACAAAGTTGTATAAAACTATTACCAACAAAGTTGTATAAAACTATTACAACCATGCTGTATAAACCTATTACCAACAAAGTTGTATAAAACTACTACAACTATTCTGTACAAAACTATTACCAACAAAGCTGTATAAAACTATGACCAACCATGTTTCTGTTAATGTCATGTTCAGGTCTCACTCAATAGAGACGCCTAAAGTAGGAATCAACATAACATACAGTAAACAATGATCATAACAAACTCGTAGGGACCAGTAATTTGAGCTTGCTGTAACCGTTGTTCGGTATAAGCATACATACAGCATATATACAACAAATGACCGGGACCAAAAATAAGTTTGTTATATCTTTCAGTTCGTTACCACAGTGTTTCTTTATAAGATGTAGTTTACTGTATAAACAATACATGTATGTATTCACCTATTACCTGGGTGGATACTGTGTGTGACAGCACGTTACTGTTTTATTTGAAACCAGTACTATTGACCCCCGGTTTAGTATCCAATGCCATGTTTCTAGGTCTGTCAGCACCATACTCGTGTCCGTGGGTGTCACCAAAGTGGTAAACGTCTGAGACCTGCATCAATTCAGGCCACTACATTAAACACGCCGTGATATAACTGGAATATGGTTCAAAGGGACGTTAAACCCAACTCACTCACTCCCTAATATGCCTGTGTATCAGACAGTCAGGGTGTATAAATAAGCTGTTCACTCAAAAAAGATTCACGGATCCAAAACACACCCATGACAGAAGAAGAAAATAAAGGATATATTTGTCAGATATCAGATTTATTCGTGATATTCATGCGGGCAACTGATGCATGGATCTGTAAGTGGACATAACGTTACAATTCTGTCACTACAGGTTCGAAGAATACACGTGATCAAATGATGGGTGTCACTTCATGACGTACACCGTGGCTACAGGCTCGAAGAATACACGTCATAAAAGGATGGGTGTCACTTCATGACGTACAACATGGCTACAGTCAGGATTAAGGTTTTGTTGCCCCTGCGTTGTGTCCATCTACAGATCCTGGACAGATGACATCATGGCGGACACTGGCTACTTCGACAGGACATAGCCCAGCACAAGCGCCAAGGACCCGAAAAGGACGGAGGAGCCTTGGGTAGCGGCGGAGTTCTCAGGCTCTGAAATACAAAGTTCTGAATAGCTTAACACTGTATTGAACATACCAACAAAGAATTTAATATCTGCACTAAGTATTGAATACCTTCATTAAGTATTGAATATCTACAATAAGTATTGTATATCGGTGCTAAGTATTGGAAACCTGCACTAAGTATTGACTGTCTGCACTAAGTATTGAATATCGTCATTAAGTATTGAAAACCTGCACTATGTATTGAATACCTATACATAATACAAAGTACACTAAATAGTGAATGAGTGAATGAGCTGGGATGATTGTCGCTTTAAACAGTTAAGTCATACTTCGACATGACAGTGAGAGGAGAGCCCTCAGTAGCCGAGGTCGTAGAGGTTGCCACTTCGATGAATCCCCCGAGCACAGCTGTGTACTTGCATAACAAGGTTTATAATCAGTCGATAATAATACATTAATCAGTTTATACTCAGCCCGATATTAATACATTAATCAGTTTAGATTTAGTCCAATAATGATACATCAATCCGTTTATATTCAGTCCGATAATAATACATTAATCAATTTATATTTAGTTCGATAATAATACATTAATCAGTTTATACTATGTCCGATAATAATACATTAATCAGTTTATATTCAGTCCGATAATTAGTCCAATAACAATACATTAATCAGTTTATACTATGTCCAATAATAATACATAAAACAATGTATACTCAGTCCAATAATTATACATATTATATTTAGTCCGATAGTAATATATATAGTCAGTTTATACTCAGTCCGATAATAATACATTAATCAGTTTATACTCAGTTCGATAACGATTTATAAATCAGTTTATATTCAGTACGATAACAATACATCAATCAGCTTATACTATGTCCAATAATAACACATTAATTAGTTTATATTTAGTCCGATAATAATACAATAATCAGTTATATTCAGTCCGATAATAATACATTATTCAGTTTATAATGAGTCCGAAAATAATATATATTAATCAGTTTATATTCAGTCCGATAATAATACATTAATCAATTTATGCTCAGTCCAGTAATTATACATTAATAAGTTTATATTCAGTCCGAAAATAATACATTAATAAGTTTTTACTATATCCGATAATAATACATTAATCCGTTGATACTCAGTCCGAAAATGATATACATTAATCAGTATATATTTAGTCCGATAATAATACATTCATCAGTTTATACTCAGTCCGATAATAATACATTAATCAGTTTATACTCAGTCCGATAATAATACATAAATCAGTTTATATTCTGTTCGATAATGATTTATTAATCAGTTTATACTCACCCTGATAATAATACATTAATGCGTTTCTATTTAGTCCGATAATAATACATTAATCAGTTTATACTCAGACCGATGATAATACATTAATCAATTTATACTCAGTCCGACAATAATACATTAATCAGTTTATATTTAGCCCGGTAATACTACATTAATCAGTTTCTATTTAGTCCGATAATAATACATTAATCAATTTGAAACCTCTGCCTCACGAATGTGTTTCGAATTAGATTTAGAGGTGTCAAATATACGCATCATACAGGAAACACAATCATTTTCTCTCGAATGTGATAAAAAATCTTTCTTTGATTATTTAATAAACTTAACTGGACACTACTTTTGCAGCTATTTCATATTAAATATAAGCAACGAAACCTTATTCATAATTAAAAAAATCTTACGATTCCGACTTTATTACACGATTGAATATCAATACAATAATCTACAGCAGCAGTGAAATACCAGTCGGTTGTTGAAATGTTAGATCATCTATCCCTGACTTATTTTGCCACAAGTCGCACCGAGTGAACTCAGGAGTATGTCATGTTATTGAAATATATTGACTGCGGGATGACCCGAGCCCAGGGCTCCGTCCTCCCTATCAGCAGGAAGTTTGTCAAAATATGTCAAAAAGTTAATAAATAACTACAACATAATTCATCGCATAGTGATCATTTAGATGTGAACCTCGCTACAATAAGACCCGTTAAGAAATTAATTCACAGATCAACACGGACATGTTATTTCAATATTATTGCAAAGATTAGATATGCCGCAACCAATCCCTACCACTCGTAGCTTTCCGTCATCGACAATTAGCCTTTCGGCTTGTTCCGGAATGACACCTGTGTCTACCACAGGTCTGGTGACAGTTTGAGTGTTGATCTAACATCAATGTAAAAGACGACCAAGCTTGGTCGGGAGTACTTCCGAATTACGAGTATATCTACTGGTGCCCTTGAAGTTGTTATATCACAACGCTTAGGACACACGGGCCGGAGCTCGGGTAATTTCAGTATATAACTTTGTATCATTTTACGAGTAGTATCTATATCATAGTACGGTAAATAATATTTAACATTGTGTTATGTCAAAGTATGATATTATTTAAAAAACGATTTTAGATATATCATTTGAAGTATTTCTATCGATGAAATCACGAAGTAGCTGCCTTACCTGATGCCGCCCAAACTGGACTAAATCCAAGGCTGACCAAGGCGAGAACTGGAAGTAGAAAATAGAAGTTAGTTGACAAATTCAGATATTATTTTTTTCTCTTCTATATCGAATAGACATTAGCATCGTAGATATCAAAACATTCCTGTCGTTTAAATTAACTACGTAAATTAATATGAGTTAGGACAACAGTATGATTCCGTCACTACACCGCAGTGATTGAGATTACCCCCTTTATCGTGTTCTGAGATCAAGTCATATAGTTGCGTATCTTTGGACACTGGATTACAATTGCTGACATAATTATTTTGATATCTAAAATAGTGATAAGATATTTTAAAATATATGTAGTGATATTTAAGAGGGGTTTAAAGTGTATCACATAATCAGATGATAAATAAGGTCAACCCAAAGTATCCCAGTCTCGATTATCCGACAGAAACATCCTATGAAAACTATACATACCAACAAGGAAGCAGAAGGTGAAAACTGACTCCATCTTCACACTTTCAGTCGACTGTAGGAAAAGCTCGAGGGGCTATCGCGTTTATACATATACGCGATATTGTTTAGTCACGTGGTCATACATGACGAGGTTGTGTATTACCGTCGCTGTTCTGCCTGGTCTGTTGCAGCTAACGCCCCCCTTTGTCCTGGACTGTTTGCTTGAGTTAACTACCAACCTCATGGTGGGTTGGCTGAGCGAGCAGGTAGTGGGTACGTCCATACATGTATAAAGGCGACACTTACATCAACTCGACAAGCTCACGAATCCGTTCAAATAATTACGTACATGTACGGTAGTGTGATGCATAAACCGGATTTTATTCAAGTTATAGAATCATTTCTATTGGAATTAATTGAAACGGTTTATTTTTTTTCTTTCGTTTATTTTCTCGCAGACATGATGTTGACAGAGCCCTCGACTAAACAACATGTGGGGAGGAAAATCATGTACATGTTTGTTTGTTTGTTTGTTTGTTTGTTTGTTTAACGCCGCACACAGCAATATTCCAGCTAAATGACGGTGGTCTGTCATCGACAATCTTGAATAGACAATCTAGTGATTGATATCATCAACATCGATCGGGATACGATAACATGCATCAAACCAAGTCAGCTAGCCTGACCACCGGGTAACGTTAGTCGCTTCCTACCACAAGTATAGTCGCCTTTACGGCAAGCATTGGGTGCTGAAGACCTTTTCTACCCGGATCTTCACGTGACTCCTGAAGAAAATGTCTTTATTTATAAGCAGTAGAATCTCTACACTTGTACACAGGATACGTAATTCAAAATTAACATGTCGTTTTTAGTTTCAAAACAATCGGTAAATAGTTTCAACACAATCAGTAAATACGATGGGGACTGACTTGACTTCTGGTCCTTCATCTGATTTGTTTAAAGACCGCTGTTCCATGGCAGGAGTACTCTTGTAGTATGGTACTCCGGTGTACAAGGGTGTTCCCTCCTATACTACAGTGTTCCCTCCTGTACAACGGTGTTCCCTCCTGTACAACGGTGTTCCCTCCTGTACAACGGTGTTCCCTCCTGTACTACGGTGTTCCCTCCTATACTACAGTGTTCCCTCCTGTACTACGGTGTTCCCTCCTATAGTACGGTGTTCCCTCCTATACTACAATGTTCCCTCCTGTACTACGGTGTTCCCTCCTGCACTACAGTGTTCCCTCCTGTACTACAGTGTTCCCTCCTATACTACAGTGTTCCCTCCTGTACTACAGTGTTCCCTCCTATACTACGGTGTTCCCTCCTGTCCAACGGTGTTCCCTCCTATACTACAGTGTTCCCTCCTATACTACGGTGTTCCCTCCTGTACTACAGTGTTCCCTCCTATACTACAGTGTTCCCTCCTGTACGACGGTGTTGCCTCCTGTACAACGGTGTTCCCTCCTGTACTACGGTTTTCCCTCCTGTACTACTGTGTTCCCTTCTGTACTACAGTGTTCCCTCCTGTACTACAGTGATCCCTCCTGTACTACAGTGTTCCCTCCTATACTACAGTGTTCCCTCCTGTACGACGGTGTTGCCTCCTGTACAACGGTGTTCCCTCCTATAGTACGGTGTTCCCTCCTATACTACAGTGTTCCCTCCTATACTACGGTGTTCCCTCCTGTACTACAGTGTTCCCTCCTGTACTACAGTGTTCCCTCCTATACTACAGTGTTCCCTCCTGTACTACAGTGTTCCCTCCTATACTACAGTGTTCCCTCCTGTACGACGGTGTTGCCTCCTGTACAACGGTGTTCCCTCCTATAGTACGGTGTTCCCTCCTATACTACAATGTTCCCTCCTGTACTACGGTGTTCCCTCCTGCACTACAGTGTTCCCTCCTGTACTACAGTGTTCCCTCCTATACTACAGTGTTCCCTCCTATACTACAGTGTTCCCTCCTATACTACAGTGTTCCCTCCTGTACAACGGTGTTCCCTCCTATACTACAGTGTTCCCTCCTATACTACAGTGTTCCCTCCTATACTACGGTGTTCCCTCCTGTACAACCGTGTTGCCTCCTGTACAACGGTATTCCCTCCTGTACAACGGTGTTCCCTCCTGTACTACAGTGTTTTCTCCTATACTACAGTGTTCCCTCCTGTACTACAGTGTTCCCTCCTATACTACGGTGTTCCCTCCTGTACTACGGTGTTCCCTCCTGTACAAGGGTGTTCCCTCCTATACTACAGTGTTCCCTCCTATACTACAGTGTTCCCTCCTGTACTACAGTGTTCCCTCCTGTACAACGGTCTTCCCTCCTGTACTACGGTTTTCCCTCCTGTACTACTGTGTTCCCTTCTGTACTACAGTGTTCCCTCCTGTACTACAGTGTTCCCTCCTGTACTACAGTGTTCCCTCCTATACTACAGTGTTCCCTCCTGTACGACGGTGTTACCTCCTGTACAACGGTGTTCCCTCCTATAGTACGGTGTTCCCTCCTATACTACAATGTTCCCTCCTGTACTACGGTGTTCCCTCCTGCACTACAGTGTTCCCTCCTGTACTACAGTGTTCCCTCCTATACTACGGTGTTCCCTCCTGTACTACAGTGTTCCCTCCTATACTACGGTGTTCCCTCCTGTACTACGGTGTTCCCTCCTATACTACGGTGTTCCCTCCTGTACTACAGTGTTCCCTCCTGTACTACAGTGTTCCCTCCTGTACGACGGTGTTGCCTCCTGTACAACGGTGTTCCCTCCTATACTACAGTGTTCCCTCCTGTACTACGGTGTTCCCTCCTATAGTACGGTGTTCCCTCCTATACTACAATGTTCCCTCCTGTACTACGGTGTTCCCTCCTATACTACAGTGTTCCCTCCTGTACTACAGTGTTCCCTCCTATACTACAGTGTTCCCTCCTGTACTACAGTGTTCCCTCCTGTCCAACGGTGTTCCCTCCTATACTACAGTGTTCCCTCCTATACTACGGTGTTCCCTCCTGTACTACGGTGTTCCCTCCTATACTACAGTGTTCCCTCCTATACTACGGTGTTCCCTCCTGTACTACGGTGTTCCCTCCTGTACTACAGTGTTCCCTCCTATACTACAGTGTTCCCTCCTGTACTACGGTGTTCCCTCCTGTACAACGGTCTTCCCTCCTGTACTACGGTTTTCCCTCCTGTACTACTGTGTTCCCTTCTGTACTACAGTGTTCCCTCCTGTACTACAGTGTTCCCTCCTGTACTACAGTGTTCCCTCCTATACTACAGTGTTCCCTCCTGTACGACGGTGTTGCCTCCTGTACAACGGTGTTCCCTCCTATAGTACGGTGTTCCCTCCTATACTACAATGTTCCCTCCTGTACTACGGTGTTCCCTCCTGCACTACAGTGTTCCCTCCTGTACTACAGTGTTCCCTCCTATACTACAGTGTTCCCTCCTGTACTACGGTGTTCCCTCCTATACTACAGTGTTCCCTCCTATACTACGGTGTTCCCTCCTGTACTACGGTGTTCCCTCCTATACTACAGTGTTCCCTCCTATACTACGGTGTTCCCTCCTGTACTACAGTGTTCCCTCCTGTACTTCAGTGTTCCCTCCTGTACTACAGTGTTCCCTCCTGTACGACGGTGTTTCCTCCTGTACAACGGTGTTCCCTCCTATACTACAGTGTTCCCTCCTATACTACGGTGTTCCCTCCTATACTACGGTGTTCCCTCCTATACTACAGTGTTCCCTTCTGTACTACAGTGTTCCCTCCAGCACAACGGTGTTCCCTCCTGTACTCACAGTCTGGTCCGTTATCCTTCTCAAACCAGGGATGCGTCCTGCAGTCTCTTTAGCTGTGGCATTGCGATGACGTAGGTGGAACAGTCGAATGTAGCGATCCTGTGCAGGGGTGGTAACTCTTGGTCGGCCGGTTCTCGGAGATCTGAAGTGGAATTGAACAGGGTGTATCGGTCCCAAAAGGCGGCAAATGGTGCTGTGGTCGACGTTGAAGTGAAGTGACGTGCAACATAAGACTGCGATTCCCCTCTTTGGATACATCCTGTGTTCCGATGTTCCGATCGGCAGCGCTGAGTCTCGGCATTTTCGAACTTGAAAAATGTTGACAATTGAATGACAAATTATTGGTTTATGTTTGCCTTTTTATAGCCACTACCACGAGTTACGAATGCCATAACTTGCACGTACATTTTGCTTTACTCTTTTCCTCCATGACATTTTTGAACAAGTGTGAAAACAATGCCGTTTAAGGCATTGCAAATCGACAATGGCTGCGTTTTGACGCACCGTTTGTCGAATATCAGGCCACCAACATTATCCAACAACATATATCCAATATATATGGCGGATTGAAGAGCGTATTATGGAAACGAGTTTGTCGCATATATTTAGTTTCCTAAATCTATGTATTTAGCATAGTCACGCAAGGATGCATATCGTGATGTACAAGCTGTTTACTCCCGGATATAACTTGGCCTGAGTTCATTAGATCCATACAATGTGGTTTCTTCGTATGCTATATAATTACTATTTCGGGGTACTTCCGGGACATTAGGCAGGTCGGCCGTGTCGATGAAAGACGCACAGTCATACCACAAGCTGTCTTCTCATACCACCAAAAAAACATCTTCTTTCATAAAATTCCATGCTGCTATCAAATTATGTCATTGAAACGACAATGGCTATTTACACGGTTCTACCCTTACAGCGCTGATACAGAGAAGGTCTGTTTGTGTTCACGTGGCAGTTACACATGCTTTCCCAGGGTCATTCGAGCTTCTTGGGCCTTGAATCGCAACAACCTAGTAACATGAGAGTTTGAGTGAGTGAGTGGGTATGGTTTTACGCCTTTTTTAGCAATATTCCAGCAATATCACGGCGGGGGACACCAGAAATGGGCTTCACACATTGTACCCATGTCGGGAATCGAACCCGGGTCTTCTGCGTGACGAGCGAACGCTTTAACCACTAGGCTACCCGACCGCCCCTGAGAGTTTGAGAACTCTCACAGTGTTATCGGTTATTATAATATTTGTTATACCTACTGATGTCAACTTATTATTGCAATTGTAAAGACATACTTTAACGGAAGTATGTGTTTGTTTGTTTTTAGTTTTTTTGTATATTCCAGCGGCATGACGGCGGTGTGTAAAACATCGCGTTCGGAACAGTCAATCCAGTGATTGATATCACCGATCTACGTAACTCGGGTACGATAACATACATCAACCAGTCAGAGAGTCAGACCACCCGACCCCGTCAGTCGCCTCTTGTGACAAGTATGGGTGCTGAAGACCAATTCTTAACCGGATCGTCACAGGGAGGGAACGTGTTATTAAAACATGCGCAGAACAAAATTAGAGCGACGCGCATCTAATTCGACCATCCACCCTGGTTGATCTTTATTAAAATAGATATCATTATACGACTTAATTCTGTCATCGATCCTGGTTGATCCCTTGAATAAACAGATGTCACAAAACGACTTAATTCTGTCATCGATCCTGGTTGATCCTTTCAATAAACAGATGTCATAAAACGACGTAATTCTGTCATTGATCCTTGTTGATCATTAGAATAAACAGTTATCTTTATACGACTTAATTCTGTCATCGATCCTGGTTGATCCTTTCAATAAACAGATGTCATAAACGACTTAATTCTGTCATCGATCCTGGTTGATCCTTTGAATAAACAGATGTCATAAACGACTTAATTCTGTCATCGATCCTGGTTGATCATTAGAATAAACAGTTATCTTTATACGACTTAATTCTGTCATCGATCCGGGTTGATCATAAGAATAAACAGTTATCTTTATACGACTTAATTCTGTCATCGATCCTGGTTGATCATTAGAATAAACAGTTATCTTTATACGACTTAATTCTGTCATCGATCCTGGTTGATCATTAGAATAAACAGATGTCATAAACGACTTAATTCTGTCATCGATCCTGGTTGATCCTTTGAATAAACAGATGTCATAAACGACTTAATTCTGTCATCGATCCTGGTTGATCATTAGAATAAACAGTTATCTTTATACGACTTAATTCTGTCATCGATCCGGGTTGATCATAAGAATAAACAGTTATCTTTATACGACTTAATTCTGTCATCGATCCTGGTTGATCATTAGAATAAACAGTTATCTTTATACGACTTAATTCTGTCATCGATCCTGGTTGATTCATTGAATAAACAGATGTCATAAAACGACTGAATTCTGTCATCGATCCTGGTTGATCATTAGCATAAACAGTTATCTTTATACGACTTAATTCTGTCATCGATCCTGGTTGATCCTTTGAATAAACAGATGTCATAAAACGGCTTAATTCTGTCATCGATCCTGGTTGATCCTTTCAATATACAGATGTCATGAAACGACATAATTCTGTCATCGATCCTGGTTGATCATTAGCATAAACAGTTATCACTATACGACTTAATTCTGTCATCGATCCTGGTTGATCCTTTCAATATACAGATGTCATGAAACGACATAATTCTGTCATCGATCCTGGTTGATCATAAGGACAAACAGTTATCACCATACGACTTAATTCTGTCATCGATCCTGGCTGATCAATAGACTAATGATCATCAGAGGTCATTATTGTATGTCGGATATCAATCAATCAATCAATCAGTTTATTCGGTAATAAGGCCTCAGGCCCACGTACATATATATAAAAATTAGTTTCACATCAAGTGCTGCATGAAATAATATTTACAGGTAAGAAGAACGAAGACAGATAGAATTTTTAACATAATTGGCTAAGTTCTCAAGGCGGTTTACATCAGAAGAGTTTAACATTCTAACCAGTGTGTCTTTACGATTATTACCAGTAATGAAGTCTAAATATGGGAAATATTTTGAGCCAATATCTTCATAAATGGGGCAAACAAGAATGAAATGAATTTCATTTTCAACTGCCCTTAACTTGCACAATGGACAAAACCGGAGTGTCTTATCGATGCCATCCCTCCTTCCTGTGTTATGCATAATTCCCAGTTCTCCAATACGTAAAAGGGTAAGCATACGTCGCTTTTCTTTTGATAATACATTTAATAGATACGGTTCAAGTGATAATGATGTCTTAAATAATGAATACAGTTCTAATTTCGAGCATCCAGACAATTCAGAATACCATGTTTGTGCATGACAGTCCTTCACCCTCAGTCTAAACTCATTTATAAAATATTCAGGATCACCAGCACCTTGAAATTCCCACACATGTCCGAAGCCATGAGAATATAACATATTCTTAATAGCCGAAACCCATGTATTCCTACCAACGGCATCAAACCTAACTAACATATCGTAAACCCGTTTTGGAAATCTCTCTTGAGACATATTAAGAAGCTTAAACCAGTATCTTAAACATCTTGTGTAAGAATCAATATAAATACCGTATCGACCACACTCTCCGAGCACTGCAACATTTGTAGATTTGGAACCGATACCCAAAACAAATTTACAAAACTTTGCTTGGAAACGTTCGAGAAACAACCATTTATGAACCCCCCAAATCTCTGAACCATATACAATAATAGGTTTAATCTGAGAGTCGAACATTTTAAACAATACTTTGGGAGCGATATTTGGGAGCGATACTCCGGAAACAACATATGACGCCTAAGGTTTTTAAGCTGGAGTAAAGGTTAAATGAATGTAGGTGGAGGCAGAGATCAACCAGCACAGCACGGGGAGCGACTCTGTGTCGTGATCACTGGGCAAGGTAAAATGGCCGTTAGCTATCAGTCAGACAGCATCTCCAGGTATGTGGTCGGTATCCCCGCGGTTTACTTTCAAGGTCACGTATATGTGCATGACTCTCTAATTCAGTCTGCATAAGTAGATAACAAACCGGGAAGTTATCGCTTGAGTGATCAGTTAGACCAGTCTGACTCGCTGCTTTATCGTGAGAGTGTCACCGTGAGCATTGTCCCTATCCCTTGTTGAACATACGTACCACTCAACTATCGAGAAGGATGAATTACTTTATACCGTTAAGGAACTGAACGGACAAAAGCTTATAGTTATTGTATGTTCAAATGAAACAGAAAATGCATCGATTCCATGATAATACCGAATCATATTCGTTTGACAACAATCTATAGTAATCAGTCACCTTCTGTCTCCACCTTCTGCGTGTGTGTGTATGTGTGTGCGTGTGCGTGAGTGCGTGTGTTTGCGTATGCGTGTGCGCGTGTGTGCGTGTGTGTAGGTGTGCGTGTGCGTGCGAGCGTGCGTGCGTGCGTGTTCAATGTAAACGTCTCAACATATGTATTTTCTTAACTGACCGAGAAAGGAAAATTACTCTTGAAAATTGAAATGTTCCCAGGCTGAAACATTGCAAAAGTAAGATCCACATCCCGATACCCGTATCAAAAACGTCAACGTCTAACAACCATTTCTGGTTTGTTTCAGTTTTACCACCATCAAAGATGGGTGTATACTTTCTGTTACCCGGCAGTTCAGTGTGGCTGTGTTCCCGACATACGTTGTTATTGATGTACATAGTAGCTACACATGCCCTGAGAAATTCCAACAATATCAGCACGAACACGATGTTAACTGTCGCTTTAATTGGGAAATGAGTCACTGTGTAGGAACTGAAGTCGGGTACGGACAAAGATAACCTTCTTAACATACGGTTGGCGTACTGCGTGAGACCTGTATTGTGAGTAGTTACAACTATACTCAACAACAAACGTTCCTGTGACACCAATATTTTAGTGTATTTTTCAAACAAGTAAAGTTTGGTTTCAAATATTGTAGTACATGTATGGAATCAAGTCACAAAACGCAACTGCTACAGAAAAGCATGCATTTCATGCAAAAGTGGACTTTTATGCAAGATCTATGTTTTTCACTACCCAAGAATGGGTATACAAACATGTGCGTTAACGGGATTTCATATGCATTGTTGACTATCGTGCTGACAACAACCACTCAGAAAAACAACAAACTTACGCAATTATTCAACATTACAAAATGCCACGCCTGTCCGAAAATGAGCGTCTGCGACCCATTGGTATGCTTGAAGCAGGATCGAGTCAACGTGATGTTGCAAGACAATTTAACGTCCACAGAAACACCATTTGGTGTTTATGGCAACGTTGGCAACAGACGAATGCAGTCAGAGACTATCCTGGGAGTTGCAGGCCACGCCTAACCAATAATCGAGAAGACAACTGGATTCGAACAACGCACCTACAAATCGATTCCAGACAGCAACAGTGACTGCAAGAAGCATCCCTGGCCTTCGACGAATATCTTCACAAACCGTACGTCGTCGCCTCAGATGTGCAGGGATTGTCGCCAGAAGACCCGCCAGACGTCCCATTTTGACAGGAAACCACAGCCAAGCACGTCTACAGTGTTGCAGACAGCGTCTACGCTGGACGGCCATGCAGTTGGGACAAGTTCTATTCACTGACGAGTCTCGTTTTCACCTCAGCCACAGCGATGGACGGATTCGAGTGTACCGACGTCGAGGTGAACGTTACGTAATTAGTGTGTCATGGAAGAAGATCGGTTCGGATGCGGCAGCGTTATGGTATGGGGTGGGATTACAGCAAGACAGAGGGAAATCTTAATGGACAGCTCTACCGCGACGAGATCATCGGCCCTGTTGTTCTACCGTTTTTGCGTCGTCATGGTCCAGGCATTACCTTTCAACATGATAACGCCCGGCCTCATATTGCGCGACTTGTTCAGGATTCTCTTCAACAAAACAACGTGAATGTTATCCCCTGGCCGGCTCGCTCCCCTGATCTCTAACCAATCGAGCACATGGCGGATGAGATGGATCGGCGCTTTCGACGTCAACCACGTGTTCAACAGACACTCCAGGAACTTCGAAACATGCTTCAGCAGATATGGACAGATATCCCACAGGACTTTTTTCGCGCCTGTTCCATTCCATGAGACGAAGATGTGTTGCTTGCATCGCCACCAGAGGTGGACACACACGCCATTGATTTGTAAATTTACATTTTGGCATGTTCATGTTTTTTATGAAATCACGCATTTTCTGGAGTCAGTATGGCAAATGAAACCATTTGAATACTTACAGGAGTCTTTTATCTGTTGCAAACCGAAATTGTTTCAGATTTGGTAAAAAACGTAACTTTGCATTAAATCTTATTCAATGTCACAGGAACCTTTGTTGTTCAGTATAGTTGTGTTCATAAACTCACGATATCACTTGTTAAACTTCTAAAAATAGTTTGTATTCATAAACCCGTCGTCCGGGTAAACATGAAGCGTATCAGTACACATGGTGTTTATAGATACCAACACGTGAGATAAACGTTTTCCTCGTGGACGATAAAGATAACAGTGTGAGCATTTTATAGAATGTTATATTCCACATTGGTAGAGTATGATCACAGAATTACAACAGCATGTTTTGTTCCACATTGGTAGATTATGATCACAGTATTACAACAGCATGTTTTGTTCCACATTGGTAGAGTATGATCACAGAATTACAACAGCATGTTTTGTTCCACATTGGTAGATTATGATCACAGTATTACAACAGCATGTTTTGTTCCACATTGGTAGATTATAATCACAGTATTACAACAGCATGTTTTGTTCCACATTGGTAGATTATGATCACAGTATTACAACAGCATGTTTTGATCCACATTTGTAGAGTATGATCACAGTATTACAACAGCATATGTTATTCCACATTGGTAGAGTATGATCACAGTATAACAACAGCATGTTTTATTCCATATTGGTAGATTATGATCACAGTATTACAACAGCATTGTTTGTTCCACATTGGTAGAGTATGATCACAGTATAACAACAGCATGTTTTATTCCAAATTGGCAGATTATGATCACAGTATAACAACAGCATGTTTTACTCCCAATTGGCAGATTAGAGCACTACTATACAATAAGAAATGTGTTTATAAATCACTGTGAAATACGCGACAAGGGGAGCACACATCGATGGCACACGTCACAAACACATGCAAAAATCAGTCCATTAATCACCTGAAACAACATGTGAACATATTGTACAAGTCAAAATAGGGAATTGTATATTTTTTGTCACTGATGGCACGCACACTTACTCACTCCCAGACTCTCTCACTTACACTCACACTCACACACACTCACACTCACACACACACTCACACTCACTCACTCTCACACACACTCACACTCAATATCATACATATTCGAACTCACACACATTCATTCACGCTCACTCATTCACGCTCTCACACACATCCACACACACACACACACACACACACACACACACACACACACACACACACACACACACACACACACACACACACACACACACACACACACACTCCAAACAGACACCAGACGCCGCACACGAACACGCACGCACCCATACAAACACGCGCACACACGCACGCACATACGCACACACGCTCACCACACACGCATCGGACACACATACCACACACACATGCACCCGTACACGCGCACACATAGGCACACCATCGGACACACACCACCTAAACACACGCCACATAAGCCACACACGAGGCAAACACCACGCACACATATCACGCTCACACACACCACACACACGCACAACACATTAGCACCACACACACACAGCACACACACTCACCACTTATACGTACCACACACACACACACACACACACACACACCACAAACTTCTTTGAGTGAGTAAAGTTTAAATGTTTTCGAACGTTTGTTGTATTTTACTGACGCTTCTTTTAATATTAGATTGCAATGGACTTGAAAACACTTCAACCATTCCTGAACGAAAACATCACTTGAAGTTAACGTTATTTGGACATGTTAAGGTACTTTCTCCAACATGACAACCAACTTGAAATCAGTTGCACTTGTCTTCCAAATCCACAGAGATCTTAAATGTACATGTGTACAAGTCAAAACTTAAATATGCCTTTACACCATAGGGGCACAGGTGGCCAAGTGGTCTGAGGCGCCGCGATTTGCTGTGCAGAGTTGCGTCCCTTGCAATTGGGCACGCCTAACCTATGATTGTTGGTTCGAATCCTGTTCGACCCGATTATGTTTCGAGGTTTGTCAGCACCATACCCGTGCACGTGGGTTTCACCGAAGTGGTAAACGTCTGAGACCTGCATCACTTCGGTCTTTCCTCCCACATTAAGCTGACACGCCGCGATATAACTCGAATACTGTTAAAAGCGGCGTTAAAACCAACTCACTCACTCACTCACATTTACACCATAATCGTTACGCCAATTGTTGATAGCTCATAGGGCTCGTTGTACTTAGATTAGGATTAAGCTCATTTGCGGTATAATACACTCGTTTGTAAGAGTTAGAGTGAGATATCTCTCCATAAGAATATGCAAAATACAACCGGCCACAGATAACACATGTTCCCTCTTTTAAACACGTCAAACAGGTTGGGTTAGTCTGCCTGGGTTTTTGAGACCGACGAAGACATATTTGACCTGCCGAACAGCTCGGGGGGTATCTAACACGAGGATAAGGAAAACTGGAATGGTAATGATGAAGACAGCTACGTAGCCAATACTTGTGGATGAAGCCCTGTGGTCCGGGGCACTGATCTTCATCCGAATACTTCTGGAGAGTTTCTTCTTCTCCAAGGTTAGCGCTTTGGCAATAGCTGCCAGGATGGCACTCAGCTCCTCCGCACTCATATCAGTGACATTGTATAATCTGCATACCCGGTTCTCATGAGAAGTGGTCTCTGAACTGTCTGAGATGTCGTCTGTTCTCCCGTGGTTGTCGTTTGCTGGCGAAGAGGTCTCATCTGTACTCTGAAGGTCGTTTGCTGGCGAAGAGGTCTCGTCTGTACCCACAGCATTGTCGTTTGCTGGCGAAGAGGTCTCGTCTGAACCCACAGCATTGTCGTTTGCTGGCGAAGAGGTCTCGTCTGTACTCTGAAGGTCGTTTGCTGGCGAATAGGTCTCGTCTGTACCCACAGCATTGTCGTTTGCTGGCGAAGAGGTCTCGTCTGTACCCACAGCAGTGTCGTTTGCTGGCGAAGAGGTCTCATCTGTACTCTGAAGGTCGTTTGCTGGCGAAGAGGTCTCGTCTGTACCCACAGCATTGTCGTTTGCTGGCGAAGAGGTCTCATCTGTACTCTGAAGGTCGGTTGCTGGCGAAGAGGTCTCGTCTGTACCTACAGCATTGTCGTTTGCTGGCGACGAAGTCTCTATACTCTCTGATGGAACTGACGTCATTTGCGTGGTTTGTTCCTTCTCAGAAGTCTGTTCTCCCTCACCGTCTAGACAACAGAAAACATAAGTGCACACCTACATCTCCACTTCTTATCAAACACGTGATTGACATCCAATGACACCAAAGACTTTATTGAGTCTGAGTCATATTGCGATGAGAATAATATTTCCTTTAAACCTTATCCAAAAAGGGACAGTTCACATATAGCTATCACATATCAGATAATTTAGAATATAGAATAAAAAAAGTTTTGATAAAGAAATTGACGAGTTATCATGAACATTTACTTTTGTTATGTTTTGTTATTATTATTTACAGATTGAAATTTTAAAAAAGCAGCAAAGAGGGGTTGGATGATCCTGGCACAGTCAGGCTGGTTAAGCTCATCATCAGCTCAGGGCCCTTACCCTCTCTACACGCAGCCCAGACAGCGAATGGGACTTCTCCCAGGAAGAGCTTTGCCAAGTCAAACCCACCCATAACCTTTCGGAGAATGTGAAGACTCCCCAACACTGCAGCCTTCTGCATAACCCAGATTGTCAGAAGGACTGTATTCCTGGTAGCAAATCCGGGTACTCTCCCGATGTCAGTCAACAGATTGGGAGGTACCAAACCTAAGGCACCGAGAACAATGGGGAGTCGGACAATTTGGCACTTGGGATGCAAGCGTGACATTTCGAAAGCGAGGTCTGCATTTTTGCCATGTTTTTCCTCAATATTGTCAATCACATTAGCGTCAAAAGGGACAGAAAATTCAATGATATAAATGATTTCTTTGGATTCATCAAAAAGGACAAGATCAGGTTTGTTGGCCTGGATACGTCTGAGGCTGTATACGGGCCTATTCCAAATAATTTTATTATTTATCATTTTCCATGACGCCCATATTCCGGCATATTCTACATATTCCGGGTCGTACCATGGATGAACATCTGTATCAAAACCACAAGCATGGCGAAGACGGTAATACATTGATCGAGCCACCCCATCATGTCACTTAAGATACTGTGTTTGTACCAAAGCTGGGCATCCACTGACAATGTGTTGGACAGTCTCATTAAAATCATTACATAATCTACATTTCATATTTACATTTTGATGCAAAATCACGCATTGAGGGAGTGGGAAGTGACTGGTCCTGAGCAGCAAACAGAAAGCCTTCTGTTTCACTTTTCAGGCCAGACGACTTCATCAATGCAAAGGACTCTGCATGATTATTTTGCATGTCATCCGTTGTGTATGCTAATATGCCAGTTAAACACGGAAATTACCTTCTGGTGGCAAATAATTACTGTGAACGATATATTGATTATAGACAAGCACAAACAACACCTTACCGGCCTGGACTACGGGCTCACACTGATGGGGAATCTTAGACCTGTCATCTTCTGCCATGTACTCGGTGGTATTCTCCATGTTAAATGACACTGGAATAAGGACAATGCTAGATTAATCCAGTGTTACAGGTCGTTTGTGTGTGTTTAACGCGACAATATTCCATGAAATGATCGAGACAATACAGTGATTGATGTTGTGAGCACCGATCCACGGCGTCAGGGTACGATGACACACAAGTCACACAACCTGTCCACCCGATCCATTAATCCACCACCTGTTACCTGTGACGTAGTCTGACCCAGAATCCCCACGGGGTTGTTACAGCCGAAGACGAGAGACCATTTAAGGTTGTGTCATTTATATAGATTTGAGCTGAGATGCGATTACTGCTAAATCAAAGACACGCCGCTGTTGACAATGATACAAAGGATGGTTTCACATTACAGTAGTCGATATGTGACAACCACGTTGCCTCACTGAGTTCAGACATATGTTACATACCCAATACATTGATGGATATCTTTTACCAAAACGGGACACGAGTGGCCCAGTCGTCTGTACAGAGTTGCGTCCCTTGGGCACGCCCGAAATCTATGATTGTTGGTTCGAATCCTGGTATGCACCGATTATGTTTCTAGGTTTGTACACCATACCTGTGCTTGTTGTTTTACCAAAGTCGTACACGTCTACGACCTGCATCACTTCAAACTTGCATCCACATCAAGCTGACACGCCGTGATATAACTGGAATACTGTTCACATCGCATTAAACCCAACTCACTCCTTCATTCACTTTGACCCAAATGCTATGAACATTGTATTCTGAACTAAGTGGAGGATCCCCGGAATATATCAATCTATATGGGAGGGTCGTAAAAATACATTTGATAAAATGATATAAAGTGCCTCCACAGTCCCGAAACAATTAGGGTAACCATCCCAAGCCTGGGGACACTCGGATTGTGCCACATCAGACAGAACATGGACACTCATCCCAGCACTCCCGTAAGAACACTCTGAAAAAAGCACATGTCATCTCCAGAATTCCTTGGGGCAAATGGTCGTGGTCAGGTCGTATACTTGCACACCGTAAAGCCAGGGAATGTTTCTAAGGTATTGGAACGTCATTGTAAGTTTCGCCATCGGGCATTTATATTTCTATAGTGAAAATACACTAAACTATGGTTATAACTATATCAAAGGGACCACTAATTTTAGTTCGTTATAACAGTTGTTCGATAAGCATATATACATCTTATACACAGCAATTTGCCGGGACAAAAAAATCAGTTTGTATATACGTCAGTTCGTTTCAAGCGTATTCGTTATAAACGTAGTTTACTGTATATATGTTTCATTTTGACACTATGAATAGCGTTTCTGTGACGCGTTCACAAGTCCGCCGTAACAGGAAGAGATCAAACGACGGTAAAGGTACAAAAATTTACCAGATTTGGTTTCTTCGATTTCAGTTGAGATAAATATTGTTATCTCTTATTACTTTTGTTAAATGTGAACAAAAAGTATTTGAAAACTGATATACCCCGAAATACCTAACTAGTGTTATGCAACCTTATATATCAGAACTCATGAAAATATTCTCGTTTATTGGAATTGTAATTTTGTATATTCTAGTAAACGAGAATATTTTCATGAGTCGTGTTGATTACAGAAAGGGCAAAACTCGAATGTTTAATTTATGTTTGTTTCCTGTCGTCACAACGAGATGCATAAGTGTAGGTTTCCGTGAATGTGACGACTATACGAAATGATCCTAATCACTGTCCATTAGTGCAGTATGCCCTCTCTGTTCATGTTATAGAAAATCACAGAAGTACCAAATGAAAATGCAACGGCTCAGCGTCAAGTCTTCACCCCACATTAAGCTGACACGCTGTGATATAAATGAAGCAGTGTTCAAACCGGCGTCGAACCCAACCCACTCACTACTTGACACACAGATCCTCCTACCTTCGGCATTTGCTTTTCTCTCGCATATGAACGAATGGGTGTGGTCACAGTTGTGGCCATCCAACACAAAATCGGACTTCCGGATTACAAAACACTGGTCTCCGCTCCAACTTGAGGAGTCGCCATCTTGGAACAGTGCTAGTGATGTATTGGAGAGGGCCAGCTCGTTGCAGGTGCCCTCCCACTGCAGCATGGACTGATTCCACTGCAGTCCGACCCACGCATACCCGTCCCACCTGTCGACAACAACAACACACACTGATGGTCCTCGCCACTGGAATATACTCACCGCCAAAAGAAACGCGAACCATAGAAACATTTAGAAAAATTTAGGCTACGAAGAGATGTTTCCAATGTGTAACACTGTAATAATAATTACAGAAATGCCAAAAATTGCAAAGTTCGCTCTTCAAGAAATGTCCATTAGCCAAAACATCATCACTGAGTTTTGACCACGTGATTACAATCCGATTGAGAATCGGCATTCAGGTGACTGCGAGCGACTATATTCAGCAACATTACCATCACGAACTGAAAGAATTGGTATATTGCTGGCATGTTGCTGGTATAGTGCTGGTTAAGAGGTGTACACCTTACACACTGACTTTCTCACTGTCTCACTGACTCACTCACTGACTCACTCACTCACTGACTCACTCACTCACTCACCCACCCACTAACTGACTCACTGAATAATCTACGTCCATAGCGTAGATCAGTTCGGAACACAAAACCACTATGTTTGACTGACCCGGCTTCCCATGTGTCCTGAGTCAGCTGCTTCACCCTGTCCAGACGCTCCACGGAGTCCACGATGGCCAGATTACCACCATATCCCCGACAGACTCTCCGCGCGGTGTTCCACGACTGATGGAACGTAAAGAACACATACTCCATCCCTACATCTGAAACGTGACAGATGGCAGAAGTTAAGTTATACTCACACATGACATAGGTCGAGTTTTGCTGGGACGTGAGAGAGAGGTCGAGTTATACTGCAACATGCGAGAGGTCGAGTTATACTGAAACATGCGAGAGGTCGAGTTATATACTAAAACATGCTATAGGTAGAGTTATACTGGAACATGACATAGATAAGGTTATAGTGAAATATGAGAGATGTCGAGTTTTACTGAGAGATGTCGATTTTTTTCTGAAACATGCGAGAGGTCGACTTATACTGCAATATGAGAGAGGTCGAGTTCTACTTGACCATGACAGAGGTCGAGTTATACTGAAACATGAGACAGGTAGAGTTATACTTTAATATGAGAGAGATAGAGTCATACTGAGACACGAGGGCGGTCAAGTTAAACTGAAACACGAGAGAGGTCGAGTTATATACTAAAGTATGCTATAGGTGGAGTTATACTTGAACTTGACAGAGGTTGAGTTATACTGAAACATGGCAAAGGTCAAGTTATCTATTGTACGCTTCCGACTATATCATGAGCAAGTGTTCATGACAGGGGTCCAGTTATAATGAAACATCAAAGGGCGAGTAATACTTGAGTTATCAAACCAAAAGATCGCAGATGATCTCTTTGCCTCTCATCAGCTCAACACTGGACGAACATCTGTCCTATGTCACGAAAATCTTGCCGAAGAACGTTAAGACTCCAAGGAAGTTGCCACAAAATCGAGCACTGCAGTCACATGCAACCCTTATTTCGATGGGTTTTCACGTTGTGGAATATACCAAACTGTCTTCTCACCATGCTCAACTCCTATCACAGGGGCTCTATATATAGGCATGTTCAGTTTGGATAATCTTGTCAATGAATGCTACAGAGTCATTGAGAAATTTGATATACTCTAAATCGTGATGACAACCGTTGCAAACGATGAGTTGCTTGAACTTTGTTGTTAGTTAACTTCGGTTCAGTGTGACGAAGAGTAAGGGGCATTTGATAATGTTTGTCTGAGCTTTGATGAATACCGTCCTTCATAATCTTCAGAAATCTCATATCGTCATAGGACATCACTTTATCTCTGGTCTCATGATCCACAAAGTCTCGCTCGAGCGATCGGGAAAATTGAGATGTGAGTACAGTTTCTCCCAGAGTAGTCTGCAAGGAAATCATCACTCTGTTCAAATTGCCACATGTCTCTTTAGCCGCCTCACAGCTTGGAGACAACACTGGTGGGACATCATTTGTGAGGATTCGACGACTTGTTCCTATAGGATCTCCATCTGCAGCCTCTGGATCCATTACAGCAACCACACTCCATCCAAGATCTGTCCTCACTGCATAAGCTCCACCTCCATCAGAGGGAATTACATACCTGGGTGCTAGAGCTCTGGAGCAATTAACCCAATAAGGATACCAACTTCACAATCTTATCAGTTCATTCACAACGCCAGCTAGATGTGACCACTGAGTTACATTCTCGGGGGTAGGAATGTGATCACGATTTGCAGGCATAATACCTCTGGTATAAGATGTTGGCAAGTTTATTTTTAGAGAACTGGTGTATACTCTCACTGTCAGATGTTACATTTTCTGGCATTCAATAGTCTCATCTTCAGCATGCATTATGGATAACATCAGCTGAACCTTAGGTCCACTCACTTTCAGTTTATCACACATGCCCTTCAGAATGAAGGTTGCGTCCGATTGTGTGTCTGACAATGCATAACTCAGTACTTCCGAATCTGGATTGTCTTCGTGGGATAACCACACTGGTACGATCATTTAGATGGCTCACAGCGACTTTTCCATTGATAGATTTCACATGTATCTCTTCACCCACTCTGATGTTTCCTGGAACCAACTTGACAAGTTTTTTCTAGCTAGACAATCCTTTGAGCGGTGACCACAGTTCAGATAACCAAAACATACTCCTCTTCGCATTACAAACTCATTTCGGTCATTCATGGATTTCTTAAGAAAAACATCACAATGTTCAAGATCGTGATCCTACCGTACAGGAGACACAACTTCTTCTTGAGCTCTGTTGACATAGATCTGCATATCCGCAGTCTGCATATCTCTGAACTTATCTCTGTTTGAGGGGGGCACCCGTCACTGGTTCACATGCAAACTTCACAAACTCAGCAAATGATGGATATTCGCTGCTTGACCTTCGTTTCACAACTACTCGACTCCATCTTTGGATTAAGGCCTCTGGCAATTAAGAAAATAGCTTTCTTTTCTCCTTTTTAAAATCTAGTGCCTTCAGAATAGTTCCCGCTGCTATCGAACATTGTTTCAAAAAGTCAACATACGTTCTCAATGCAGTTCCACTTTTTCCACTCTCTGAAATCACTGAGATGAGATGACTTGATGACATTATCTTTCATCAAGCAACTGTTTTGCTTTATCATATGCTATGGGTGTTCTCATGAAAAAATATCCTTCAAGGTCATCTTTCACACTGCCACCAACGTATTTCTTCAGGTAATAAAGTTTCTCTAGAGGCTGAATTTCACGAGTTTCAATCAAGGTTTCAAAGGCAGTCTTCCATGAAGGATAGAAGATAGGATTGCTATAAAATATACCAGGTTCAGAACCAGATAATCGACTCAAACTGAACTGCTCTGCAAAGGTCCGTCTCCGTGTCCGTGTCCGTGTCCGTGCCATAATACTGTCCATGTTCTCATTTTCAGTCCTCGGACCCCTAGTAACATAACCGGTAGTAGTAACATAATAAATTCTTCTGCGCCAAAGTTCAGTTTTGTAGAAGCAAAGGGTTGCCTATCACAAGCACTATTCATATGTGTTTCTGTTTCTTTCGTGGGAATAGGTGTAGAATCAAGTCTTGACTGGCCTCCATAATCAGGTGAAATTAACATGACCATGTTTAACAGGCTGCTTATCAGCGTTTTTAAGAATATCTGGTTACGTTGCTTTCTCCTACCAGTACAATGACAAAGTTCGAGTAATTGAATGTACGGTTCCGACGATATCATGAACAAGTGTTCATGACAGGGGTCCAGTTATATTGAAACATTACAGATCGGGTTATGCTTACACATTCTGAAACATGACAGGTCTAGTTATATTGAAACATGACAAAGGTAACTCAACGGAAGGGTGCAGGGAATTAGGTGAACCAGACCGTCACTTAGCCCTGTTTGAGGATTTCAATTTAAGTGCCGCTTCTAAAACACAGGGCATCTTAGAAAAAGTAATACAGGCTGCTCTGCCCCCTGTGAGCGTCCTCGTGCTTTAACTATCATAACTCAGGGCAAAACTATACTTCAATGTTATGTATACAAACACAGCGACCATGGGGGTGTCAGATAATCATATGGAGCTGAGGTACCCTTCTACTTCCCATGTACACATGGTAATGTACCTCACATAAGTACGTGCGACCCAGCTCCTGGCACACTCACACGACTCATGTACACATGGTAATGTACCTCACATAAGTACATGCGACCCAGGTCATGGCACACTCACACGACTCATGTACACATGGTAATGTACCTAACATAAGTACGTGCGACCCAGGTCATGGCACACTCACACGACTCATGTACACATGGTAATGTACCTCACATAAGTACATGCGACCCAGGTCATGGCACACTCACACGACTCATGTACACATGGTAATGTACCTCACATGATTACGTGCGACCCAGGTCATGGCACACTCACACGACTCATGTACACATAGTAATGTACCTCACATAAGTACATGCGACCCAGGTCATGGCACACTCACACGACTCATGTACACATGGTAATGTACCTCACATAAGTACGTGCGACCCAGCTCCTGGCACACTCACAAAACTCATGTACACATAGAAATGTACCTCACATAAGTACGTGCGACCCAGGTCATGGCACACTCACACGACTCATGTACACATGGTAATGTACCTCACATAAGTACATGCGACCCAGCTCCTGGCACACTCACACGACTCATGTACTTATGGTAATGTACCTCACATGATTACGTGCGACCCAGCTCCTAGCACACTCACACGACTCATGTACACATAGTAATGTACCTCACATAAGTTCGTGCGACCCAGGTCATGGCACACTCACACGACTCATGTACACATGGTAATGTACCTCACATAAGTACATGCGACCCAGCTCCTGGCACACTCACACGACTCATGCACTTATGGTAATGTACCTCACATGATTACGTGCGACCCAGGTCATGGCACACTCACACGACTCATGTACACATGGTAATGTACCTCACATAAGTACATGCGACCCAGGTCATGGCACACTCACACGACTCATGTACACATGGTAATGTACCTCACATAAGTACATGCGACCCAGCTCCTGGCACACTCACACGACTCATGTACACGTAGTAATGTACCTCACATGAGTACATGCGACCCAGGTCATGGCACACTCACACGACTCATGTACACATGGTAATGTACCTCACATAAGTACGTGCGACCCAGCTCCTGGCACACTCACACGACTCATGTACACATGGTAATGTACCTCACATAAGTACGTGCGACCCAGCTCCTAGCACACTCACACGACTCATGTACACATGGTAATGTACCTCACATAAGTACGTGCGA